CCATTTCGCCCAGATTTGACTAAATCGGGAATTTTCCATTCTTCTCGATCCTTCCTTTTCTTCTGCGGAAATCTTCTATTTCTCTTCAAACCTTCCTTTTATGTTTAAACTTGACTTTTATTTTCTTTCTGCGAGTAAACCGTCAAAACGTTATCAAATCTGCGGGTTTGATTCCGTTGAAATCGCGAGATGGGTTTTTTATCGCGTTTTAGGTCCTTCCGGGCCGTTTTGCGATAAAAACCGTTTTCCGACTTTTTACGGGATCGTTTCCTGATCTGACGTCGTTTTTAATAAATTTCTCGAGTTAATCGCAAAGTTTTACGATTTACTCGACTTTTCATTAAAAACACGTTTTTTACGACTTACTCGACGTTTTTTTAATTAAAAGCGCGTTTTTATGATTTTAACGAGAAATCTCGAATAAATCGTATAGTTTAGGCAATGTTTGGTGTTTCGTTTAACCGTTGCCGTTTTATACGATTTCCTCGAGTTCTTTCCGAGAAAACAAAGTTTTACGGTTTTTATCGTAAAACTCGAACGGTAAGTCGGACCGAGATGGAACGAGAGATATTTCGGCCGTGGTTTAGAATGCGACCTTGTCGAAAGACGTAAGTTTCGAGTCGGGAAAGCGGGAAATCGAGACGCGGAGTGGCCGGGAATTTTTTTAGTTCGCCCATCGGCGTACTAAGCCGGGCCCGGCTTAGATCGCTGATGGGCGATCTAGAGAGTGTTTCTTAGATCGCCCATCGGCGATCTAAGTCGGGTCCGGCTTAGATCGCCGATGGGCGAACTAGTTGCGACTAGTTCGCGTTTTACAGCTTTTTCGGTTTTTTGCGGTTTTTTGCGGTTTTTTGCGGTTTTATAAAACGATTCTCGAGTTTTATAAAACGATCTTCGGATTTCATAAAACGACTTTTGAGTTTTATAAAAACGATCTTCGAGTTTTATAAAACGATTCTCGAGTCTTATAAAACGGTTTCTCGAGTTTTATAAAACGATTCTCGAGTTTTATAAAACGGTTTCTCGAGTTTTATAAAGCGATTTCTCGAGTCTTATAAAACGGTTTCTCGAGTTTTATAAAGCGATTTCTCGAGTTTTATAAAACGATTCTCGAGCTTTATAAAACGATTTCTCGAGTTTTATAAAACGATTCTCGAGCCTTATAAAACGATTTCTCGAGTTTTATAAAACGATTCTCGAGCTTTATAAAACGATTTCTCGAGTTTTATAAAACGATTCTCGAGCTTTATAAAACGATTTCTCGAGTTTTATAAAGCGATTCTCGAGCTTTATAAAATGATTTCTCGAGTTTTATAAAACGGTTCTCGAGTTTTATAAAATGATTCTCGAGTTTTATAAAACGATTCTCGAGTTTTATAAAACGATTCTCGAGTTTTATAAAACGATTTTTCGAGTTTTATAAAACTATTCCTCGGGTTTTATAAAACTGTTCTTTTTGTATTTTCGCGGAAAGTTTTGGCTATTAATTCCGTCGTACCGATTTTGACCCCAACAAATATGTTTTGTTTAGGATTTTAAAAATAGAAAATTACTCTTAGATAATATTCTAACCATTTTTAACAAAATTACTTTTTTGTTATTATCTAAATCTATATATTTTAATTATAAAATAGTTTAACACATGTCACAATCTTAAGTATAAAACTGCTACATGTCATAATCGTTTTAATTAATAATTTTGAAGAGCGAGGTTTTATATAATAAGATATTTCAGTTAGTTCTTCATATGTAAGAGATTTAAGAATTATATGATGATTTTATAATTATCCAGCATTACAAAAACGACTTATTCTATGATGATGTTATTGTTATCAAAGATTTACATGACCGTCCTCTAAAAATGAACTCTATTATCATCGAACGCTACTTTTTTTTGGATTTGAGCTCTTATGATTGTGTCCCTCTTTATCTCATAGATTTAGACCAATTGGTCTGCATTTGTTTCGAGTTCATGTATGATTCATCCTTGTGCACAAACAGTCGCTAACGTACTGCTACACTACACAGAACGAAAGGCAAAAAAACAAAATTAAGAAGATGTATCAAACATAAATGTCAGACATGTTGTTGAACATTGGCGAGGTTCAACAAGACCTTTAAAATGCGAGACTGATATGCAAGAGAGGACGACTTAATTTGCAAATCACTAAATAAGCTTGTCTAGCCACTTCTTTGATCTGATTTATCTCTCTATGTAAACTCTTTTATAGTAGATGCAGTTGAGGGACCCTCCTTTAAGAGGTACGCATTCTGGTGAACTCAGGGTGACCAAATACTTGAGTTACTGCATGTTTTGTTATTCATGAATACATAAGAGAGTGTAGGAGACCTGCAAACGTCCATGAGACTAAAGAGTGGATCGATTTCTCAACACTTGTTAATAGTGGCTACGATAGTAAGATTCCTATCTCAAAAAGAAAACATAGTCTTGCTGCTTTTTAACTATCTTCAACTTGTTACCTGCGATTTATAAACGAGAGCGTTGTCCATGAGACTAAAGAGTGGATCGATTCTCAACACTTGTTAATAGTGTCATAGGTTGAAGATACTTAAAAAATAGCAAGACTATGTTTTTTTTTTGTTCATTTGTTTTCCTACTCAACTTTTTCATAAGAGTGCAGTTACTGAAGTCTCATGAAACAAGACGTGGGTTAGTATGTTGTCTATGCACAGATCAGGATACCATCAACCATGCAAAAAAACAATCTGGATTTGCTGGAAAAAGAGTTTCTTACTTATAAGCAATAGACATCGTTCGGACAAAAAGCACCCAAAAAAACTCTGAAATAAAAGTTTCAAAGATAAAAAAGGAACAACAGAGAAGTCCACAAAAACCATTTAACTACACTCGCTGGGAAACTCTTAGTCAACTTCCTCCATCTTGGCATCTTGCTACCTTCAGCATCGGCATCATCTTCAAGGGGAGGCATCTCTGCATCGCTTCAACAACATCATCATCATCAATGCTCAGTCCAAGCTTCAACATCCTGTGAATTCTGCTCCCGAAAGTGTTTGGCTCATCTAAGCTAAATCCAGATGTGAGAAGAGAAGTCTCAAAGAGGAGAAGCACAAGAGCCTTCACAGAATTGTCGTTCTTATCAGCTTCAGCTCTTTTCCTCAGCTCGTCCATGATCGCATTCTCTGGATTGATCTCCATTGTCTTCTTGCTCGACATGTACCCAGCCATGCTGCTGTTTCTCAAAGCCTGCGCTTTCATGATCCTCTCCATGTTTGCAGTCCATCCATATTCACCTGTTACCAGACAGCATGGTGAGTCCACAACACGGTCAGAGACTATAACCTTCTCGACCTTGTCTCGAAGCACATCCTTGATGACTTTGCAGAGTCCTTCAAACTTCTCCTTTAACTCCTCCTTTTTCTTCTTCTCGTCTTCTGACTCTTCCAGTTTCAGACCTTCCTTGGTTGCAGAGACGAGCTTCTTGTTGGAGTAAGCTTGAAGTTGTTGAGACAAGAGTGAAGACTTGAAGAGTAAGCTAAGGCTAGTCCTAATTCGGTTGTTGAGGAAATAAAGATGGAGATGTTTTAGGAAGATATCTATTAGCATATCATATCTTTATATATACGGTTAGGATTATGTTGTTAGCTATATATTGAGATCCATCGAGTTATGATGTGATTTGTATGAGTTTGAGAGAATCAAGGTTTTGAGTGAGTTTTCCCTTGAGAGATTAATATAAGAGAGTTAGTCTTATACCTTATTCACATACACAAAGAACAATCGTATACTTAGTTTCAACACTTGGTATCAGAGCATAAACGTTGAAACTATGGGAGACCCTACAGGTCTTGTGAAAGATCTTACAGTGGCTACGGTGAAGGAAGAGAAGATAGGATCATCATCGATCAAATGTCCCGTTTTGAATGCTACTAATTACACTGTGTGGGCGATTAAAATGAAGATTCTGCTGAAGGTACACAAGGTGTGGGACACCTCTTGCTTACAAGTGATAACGTCGAGTGAATCAAGCAAGTGGCATGCGAGGCTTGGTCACATTAATTTCGACAACATAAAGCTGATGGTTGACAAGGAACTCGTAACAGGAATACCAAAGCTAGCAATCACAAAGAATACGTGTGTTTCCTGTTTACTTGGTAAACAAACAAAGCGACCTTTTCCCCAAGCAACAAAGTTCGAGCTTCACAGAGACTTGAGTTACTACACGGAGACCTTTGTGGTCCAATCAACCCACCAATCATTGGCCAAAACAGATATGTATTTGTGATAATTGATGATCACACTCGTTACATGTGGACGATGTTATTAAAGGAGATGAGTGAAGCGTTTGGAAGGTCTAAGAAGTTTAAGGAATCGGTAGAGCAAGAAACATGAATCTCCATTAAGACCTTCCGAACCGACAGAGGAGGAGAATTTACGTCACTGGAGTTCAATAGCTTCTGTGAAGGGAATGGGATTCGGAGACACTTGACAGCACCATACTCTCCCCAACAAAATGGAGTAGTTGAGAGGCACAACAGGACCATTCTAGAGATGACGAGGAGCATTCTGAAACACATGGAAGTTCCTAATTATATGTGGGGAGAGGGTGTAAGACATGCTACCTATCTCATCAACCGCTCTGCAACAAGAAGCCTAGCCTCCAAGACTCCATATGAAATGTTTAAAGGGAGAAGACCAAACATCTCACATCTCAAGGTATTTGGATGCGTTGGGTATACGAGAGTAGAAGCTCCTCACAAGAAGAAGTTGGATGATAGGTCACGAGCTTTGGTGCACCTTGGAACCGAACCTGGAACTAAGGCTTATCGTCTCTTTGATCCAACAAGCAAAAGAATCATTGTAAGTCGAGATGTGGTTTTTATGGAAGAAGAAGGTTGGAAGTGGAATGTTTACAAAAGCATTGCAGACTCACTGAGTATCAATCTTGGAGAATTTGGAAACAGAGGACTTAGAGAAGTCGAGGTTAACGTGGGGTCCAAGGAAGGTACTGGTGCTGTGGTAACAGAAGTAACACACGAGGAATTAGACAAGAGTGATGAGGTTGTCGAGAAGGACATAGTGGAGATTTCTGATGACGGAGATGAGACCCAGGAGGAACCACAACTGAGACGATCAACAAGAATCAGGACAACACCTGAGTACTTGAATGACTATATTTTGTTGGCTGAATCAGACTGTGAATGGCTTCTAATGACAATGGATGAGGAGCCGTGGGATTTCTCAGAGGCTAAGAGTATGACTGTATGGGTAAAGGCATGTGAAGAAGAGATAGCTTCTATTGAAAAGAATCACACCTGGTCTCTCGTCGATTTACCAGCAGGAGCTAAAGCCATTGGACTGAAATGGGTGTTCAAAGTAAAGCGTAACCCAGATGGAAGTGTGAACAAGTATAAATCAAGACTCGTAGCAAAGGGTTATGTACAGAGACATGGGATAGATTATGATGAAGTTTTCGCACCTGTTGCAAGGATAGAAACAATACGTCTCATCATTGCTTTGGCAGCTTCTCATGGCTGGGAAGTGCATCATCTTGACGTAAAGACAGCATTTCTCCACGGAGATCTTAAAAAGGAGGTCTATGTAAGACAGCCAGAGGGTTTTGAAGTCAAGGGGAGCGAGGAGAAGGTTTATAAGCTTTCTAAGGCACTGTACGGCCTTAAGCAAGCCCCCAGAGCCTGGAACTACAAGTTGAACAAGATACTGAAAGAGTTGCTATCCACACGGTGTTACAAGGAGCCTTCATTGTACCAGAGGAAGAGGAATGATGATATTCTTATTGTAGCTGTTTATGTGGATGACTTGCTCGTCACAGGGTCAGATTTGAAGATGATAAACGAGTTTAAAATGGAGATGGCTGCTAAGTTTGAAATGAGTGACTTGGGAAGACTTACATACTACTTGGGAATTGAAGTGTTACAACACGCAAATGGCATCACGTTAAGACAAGAAAGGTATGCCTCGAGGATTCTTGTTGAGACAGGCATGGATGGCTGTAACTCTACACATGTGCCGATGGACATGAATTTGAGATTGTCAAAAGCAACAGAGGAACGCGGAGTAGATGAGAAGAAATACAGGAGGAGCATTGGTTGCCTACGTTACTTACTTCACACACGTCCTGATCTATCATACAGCATTGGAGTCCTGAGTAGATACATGCTTGAACCAAAGGAATCACATGATGCAGCGTTGAAACAAGTTCTAAGGTATTTGCGTGGATTTCTCTTCTATGGTCTTACTTACAAACGTGGAACCAGTGTAAGATTACTAGGCTATAGTGATAGCTCTCTCAACGTAGACGTAGATGATGGAAAGATTATTACAGGACACATATTCTATCTCAATGAGAGTCCTATCACTTGGTGTTCTCAAAAGCAAGAGACAGTTGCTTTATATTCCTGCGAAGCTGAGTTTATGGCTGCTACTGAGGCGGCAAAGCAGGCAATATGGCTACAAGAAATGTTAAGTGAGATTACCGGAGGCAAGTGTGAAAGAGTGACAATTCGAGTGGATAATAAGTCTGCGATCTCACTGACCAAGAACCCTATTTTTCATGGTCGCTCTAAGCACATTCATAGGAGGTATCATTTCATAAGGGAGTGTGTTGAGAATGGACAAGTGGAGGTTGAACATGTTTCTGGAAGCAAGCAGAAGGCAGACACTTTGACGAAAGAACTTGGGAGGATTAAGTTCAATGAGATGAGAGAGCTTATTGGTATTCAAGATGCAGCACAAGCTAACTTCAAGCTTAAGGAGGAGAATGTTGGAGTAAGCTTGAAGTTGTTGAGACAAGAGTGAAGACTTGAAGAGTAAGCTAAGGCTAGTCCTAATCCGGTTGTTGAGGAAATAAAGATGGAGATGTTTTAGGAAGATATCTATTAGCATATCATATCTTTATATATACGGTTAGGATTATGTTGGTAGCTATATATTGAGATCCATCGAGTTATAATGTGATTTGTATGAGTTTGAGAGTATCAAGGTTTTGAGTGAGTTTCCCCTTGAGAGATTAATATAAGAGAGTTAGTCTTATACCTTATTCACATACACAAAGAACAATCGTATACTTAGTTTTAACACTTCTTTCCCTCAAACTCCTTGAGCTGTCCAATGGCGTACTCATCAATTGCATCAACCATGTAAAGAACTTGATACCCTTTCTTCTTAAGCTTCTCGAGGAACGGAGAATTCTCCACAGCCTTTTTTCTCTCGCCAGTGATGTAAAAGATATCGTTCTGGCCTTCCTTCATCCTTGTCACGTAGTCCTTGAGGCTGGTCAACTCATCGCCGCTCTTGGTGGAGTGGTAACGCAGCAACTCAGCAATCTTGGTTCTGTTTTGAGAGTCCTCATGGATACCGAGCTTCAGATTCTTAGAGAATGCTTCGTAGAACTTGTTGTAGTCCTCCTTGTTCTCAGCAATCTCAAAGAAGAGCTCTAGGCACTTCTTCACGAGGTTCTTGCGGATGACTTTAAGGATCTTGTTATGCTGCAATGTCTCTCTTGAGATGTTGAGAGGAAGATCTTCAGAGTCGACAATACCTTTGACAAAGCCAAGCCACTCAGGAATAATGTCTTCACAGTTGTCCATGATGAAGACACGACGGACGTAAAGCTTGATGTTGTTAGGCTTCTTCTTAGTGTCAAAGAGATCAAAAGGAGCTCTCTTTGGAACAAAGAGGATAGCCTTGAACTCAAGCTGTCCTTCCACCGAGAAATGCTTAACAGCCAAATGCTCTTCCCAATCGTTGCTTACACTCTTGTAGAAAGTAGCGTACTCTTCCTTGTTGATCTTTGATAAACCAAGAGAAGGATTCATCGTGATTTGTAACAGAAAGGGGAGAAGGATAGAGGAAGAGCAGAGAAATAGGGAGAAAGAAAACTTGAGGAACAATCCTCTGTTTTGATAATGATCGTATTCTATAACCTTTCTCAGAAACGTTTTGTGAGTACATATACCAAAAGCAGTGGGCCTAAACAATGACCAGATAAATAACGTAAAAGGCCTTAAGCTCCACTGGCCCATCTTGAACATCAACGACTGTGGGAGATGGGTTATACCCCTCCACAAGGCCCATCAAACGAGGAAAACTCAGCCTAGCGTGACAATATACTCGGCCCACCGGGTAACACCAAAACGACTCGGTATGAGACGCGTTTAGTAGCGCGGCTAAACGTGTTCTAGAAGAGTCGGCGGAAGCACGATTTACCCGAACGACTAAATGGGCCTAGCAGTAATAA